AAAATTTAGCAATTGTATTTCTGAGCTGTATTTGATATATTTCCACAAATATTGATGTTACAGAGTGCATATTACGGCTGCGGAGGACAAAAATAACAAATCAGATGAACAATATATATGATGATGAACAATATATATAGCTACATCTGAGTCGATTGCGATCAAATTTGGCATACTTATTTTCAGGTCCAATCTGATCGTTCGTGCAAAATGCCATACTATTCGGACTGATATTACAAGTTTGGTGCACAATAAAAGGCAAATCCGACGAAGATATATATGGGAGCTATATCTAAATTTTGACCGATTATCTCCAATTTCAATAGGGTTCGTCCTTGGGCCAAACAAATGACTTGTGCAAAATTTCAACTGGATAGGACAATAAATGCGAACTGTACTTTGTTTACAAAAATACATGGACAGACGGACAGACGAATATGCATAAATCGACTCAGAATGTGATTCTATGCAGATCATCAAAAGGAACTATGGGTCTATCTCGTTTCCTTGTGCCTGTTACAAACAAATGCACAAAGACATAATACCCTGACTACCTTGTGGTGTAGGGTATAAAAATAAGATGTTTCATATATCCCTGATCCTGATATATCCCTGATCAGGTCATTTGGAAGTTAATAAATTGTGTTCCTCCTTACCTGATTTCCATTCGTGCAAACATTTTTGAAGATTTGTAGCAAAACACTTTCCAAACGCAGGATCAGATCTTTTGCAGGCTGTAAGGAATCCAGCTACAAAACAAAAGCAATTACAAAATTTCTGCTTCAAATTCAAGAGCAAAGTTGGCTTACGTTTTTCTGTGAGGACTTTTGCTGCCGCTGTGAGGGTTACAAGGTTCCAAATCAGAACAGTGATAGAAAACAGCCCCACAATGATTTTCATTTTTAAAATTTTAAAATTAAAATAAATTGTTATCTATCGGAATGTTAGATGTTAGAAGACTGCAAGGAAGCTGGCCAAGCGGTGGGCTTATAAATGCATCGTATGATATACGATGTAGAAAAAAATCTTTGTTTCTATCATGAAATACATTGGCGGGGCAAACACTTATTAATGGGAGTAAAGAAATATTTCCGAATAGGTTGTTGGAAATTATTTACAATACTGGATCTGAAAATATTTGCAAGCTGTTTGCACACAATGCACAACCAACCATACGTGCCTTAGTACCTCATCTACGCCAATGGATTGATTCAAATTCAACCGGTATTCTATTGAGACATTAATAGACTATATAAATATGCAATATTGGAAGAAATTATTCTACGTTCTTTTAAGCCAATTCAATGCACGTGTGTGGGGGGAAGTTATTGCCCTTGCAATTAGTACATTTTTTGATTGAATAATTGGATGCATTAAAAGTGTGCTATACCACTAGAAGAGATTAATTGATTATAATGTGTAAAAAAATATTGGAGAATATTTTATTTCTAGTTCCATAGATTTCCTTAGGCACAACATTCGAAATGGAGGATATTTGTGATTTTATTTAAAAAAAATTGTAACATGTTTGAAGATTAATTTGTGGAAATGTTTACCTCGACTGGACCCACTCTTTCCAACATTTTGGGGCCGATATTCAACGAAAATATATTTTTCATTGTTGTCATCCAATGCGTCCATAGGGTGAGATAAAGAAACGGCAACAAAGTCAAACGCCATAAGTCTACATTTTTTTTTAATTTTATTGAATGAAAGCAAAAAATGTCGGAAATAGCATCAAATTTTAGAATAAGTTTAGATTTGTTCGAATTGGTCACCTTTGGCACGAATTATGGCCTTCAAACGGCCAATGAAACCGTCACACACCGCCCGAATGTTGCTCAGCGGTATTTTGATCCATTCCCGGCGAAGCGCTTGCTTGAGGTGATCGACACTTTTTAGTGCCAACCTTGCTTTCCAAAATACTCCAGACACAATAGTCCAACGGATTGGTATGCAGAGATTTTGATGGCCATTGTGCACTGGAAATTAAGCGAGAGACTCATTTTGTAACCATTCGTGGGTGGCGCGTGCTGACAGCAACTGTGCTGAGTCCTGTTGGAATGTCCAAGGTCTGCGGCCAAAATGTTTGCATGCCCAAGGTTTTAATGCACCCTCCAGAATATTTTCGCTATAATATTCGGCATTTATTCTGATTCCACGTTCCTCATCGAAATAACGGCTTTAGACCCTAGGTATCTTTGGATAAAATTCGTTTCAGGATATTTTGAGTCGATCTAGCGACGTCCGTCCTTCCGTCCATCTGCCTGTCTGTCTGGTTGGTGCGCACGATAACTCTCGCAGGGAGTATCCGATTTGGTCTAAACTTGGTACATCGTAATATTATTATCAAACTGAGATCCAGTTCGGAAATGGCCAATATTGGTTCACTCCCTCTATTACGTCCTCCAAGGAAGGTCGAAATTTCCAAAGAAAGGAAAAGAAAGGATTATCCAATTTTTCTCCAACTTTGCAAATCTTAATATTTGCTAGGACAGGTACGAAAATGGACAATATCGGTCCACTCTATCAAGTACCTCCTCCACAAAGGGTCAACATTTTAAATAATTATAACTCTCATAAAATGTGATGTAGGTGTCCGATTGTCTTCAAATTACACACATCACAATAATTTTATGAACCCAAGGTGAAAGATGGAATATATCGGTCTACTTCTTCTGGTACCTCAACCAAAAAGGGCCAAAATTTTGAATATCCATGAAGCTCATAAAACGCGAAATTAGCATCCGATTCCATTCAGACTTGGCACATCTCAATATTTCCATCGACCCAAGATCTGTAATAAAGGTGATTGAGATCGGACCATTCCTTTGGGTACCTCTCCCACAAAGGGTCAAAGTTTTAAAAAACCAAAATGATCATAAAATCCGAAGTAAGCTTCCGGTTCTCTTCAAATTACACACATCTTAATATTTTTATGAACCCAAGATCTGGCATTGAGACGGAATATAGCGGTCCTCTCTTTCAGGTCAAGATTTTGAAAAACAAAACGCTAAGAAAGCGAAATAAGCATCCAACTCTCTTCAAATTTCACACACATGTTGTGAAGATGATATATATCTGCGAACCCTTCTGCTATCTCACCCACAACAAGGGTACAATTTTCAATATTTTTATCTATCATAACTTGCATAACAACTCAGCGATTCTTTAAAACTTGCTATATCTAAATATATGTCTCTCCACCAGAAACCTGGATATAAATGTTCGATTTTCTTTTAATTTCGCCCATACCATATCTTTATCGGTATTAGATGAAGTATAACAATGGAATACGTAGATCGGCTACATTTTAACATTTTCTAAAAATTATCACATATCTCATATAAAGTGAAGGAAGTAGTCGATATAGTCCAAACCTGGCACGTCGCAATATTTATATTATATTTATTTAAGCCCGTTTCAAATTGGACAATATTGACCCATTCCTTCGGAACCTACTCCATAGAGGGTCAACAATTTGAATAATTATAACAGAAGTCAAAATATATTTAAATAAGCGAACATTGGCTAAGGGTATACATCTATCGGCAAAACCGACTGATATTTTCTAACTTCTTCTTTTGTGACTTATAGTGAAATTTGATGAAGAACATTTTCGTCTTTGACGTCATCCTTCTAAAATTATGTTTTGTGGGAGAATTTTACATAAGCCCATATGAATTACGACTTTAACCCTAAAATGTTTTTTTTTTAATTTATGGAATATTGGCTTTTAGGAAAGTTTTAGATTTTTGATATATTCTGACACCTATATTTCATGACCAACAATTTTGTAGAATATTTTGTATTCCTAAGATCTCGTATAAAAGGAGATTTTAACGATTTTTCGAGAAATTAATCAAAAAGACCCATTTGGCGAATCGCTTGATGGTTAATATGTTTTATAAGAATAATACTCATATTATTATCAGCAATGTTATCGAGGCTGCGATAAGCCTAAAATGCAAGGATTCCAAGGAATATTGATCTGAAAATTTAGATATATCTCCCATATATATCTTCGTCCGATTCGCCTTTTATTGTGCACCAAACGTGTAATATCAGCCCGAATAGTATGGAATTTTGCACATACAACCAAATTAGGCCTTAAAATAAGTGTGCCAAATTTGATCGAAATCGGTTCAGATATAGCTATAGCTCCCATATATATTGTTCATCCGATTTGTTATTTTTGTCCTCCACAGCTGTAATATGCACTCTGTAACAACAATATTTAACTCAGAAATACATTTGCTAAATTTTATTGAGATCGGTTCAGATTTGGATATATCTCCCATATATAACTTCGTCCGATTTACCTTTTATTGTGCAGCAAACGTCTAATATTTGCCCAAATGGGATTAAATTTGGCACTTACGACCTGAGTTCAGTAGCTAGTATGTCAAATTTGGTGAAGATCGGTTCAGATATAGCTATAGCTCCCATATATACTGTTCATCCGATTTGTTACGCACAACCGTAATATGCACTCCGTAACAACGATATTCAGGGAAATATATGAAATACAGCTCAGAAATATCTTTGCCAAATTTTATCAAGATAGGTTCAGATTTGGATATAGCTCCCATATATATCTTTATCCGATTTCAAATTAATTGTGCACCAAATGGGCAATACAATTTCGAATTTAAAAGATTCAAATGCTTCGGCATATTTAGTACTTTGAACTTTAAATTATAATTATAATCACAGCGTGTATGATAAAATTCTTCCATAAAAACTTTTAATTGTTATGCGGAGCTCTACTAAATTAGCAAAGTGGTGTAGGGTATCATAAAGTCGGCCCCGCCCGACTTAAAGACTTTCTTTACTGGTTTTAGATTAATTTTCCATAGACCGATACACGTATTTTCTCTTCTTTTTCGTTTTGCTCAGTGTTCGATGTCTCTATTCCCTTAACTCACACTCTTCTCAAAAAATCATACACATTTTCCAAAATGTTTTTTTACACATTTTCCAAAATGTTTTTTTACACATTTTCCAAAATGTTTTTTATTCCAAATAATAGTGTACCGGTACATAGGCCATTATTTTACTTAAAATATCTTTAACAACAATTTTATTAGTTTGACTCAAAGCTGGGCGGAGAACTTCAAAAATTGCACGCCAATTTGCATTTAGCAACGCGTGGGCACTGTCCTCCAAGGCCTTGTCGCCGTTGAATAAATTACTCAAATGGAATTGCATGCCACCGTTATCTTCCCACAACAAATCTAGCTTTTCCACATCGGCAAATGATTGGGCGCCATCTTCACGTAATTTCAGACGGAAGTTGAGCGTAAAGGTGGCCTTTTCTAGAAATTAAAGAAAGAATACAGAAAAAATAATTAAGAAATAATATTATTTAATAAGTACATGCGATCTCCAAAGGATTTTCAAAAAATAACATTTTTCATATCTTCAAGAATTTTTAAACGAAATATTGGGTATCTTTCGAAGATCTCAATAAATACATTAACAATTATTGAATTTTATTGTTCTTTTTTAATCCCAACTTTTGCTTACCAAATATCATCAAAGCCTTGCCCTTGCTATTCAGGGCCAAGCTCAATATGTTGCCATGCATTGTGTAATCTCCGGTCAATTTGAAGGAAGGAACTGTAACTCTCAATTTCATTTCCAAACTATTGCCATTAGATCTGTCGAAATGTAAATAGATTTTATCACTTACATAAGTATATTATAATATAAAGTTTGCTTTTTTACCCAGCATCATCTATTATAGTTCCACCCAAGCCGGACAATTCAGCATTTACTAATTCCATGTTCATCGATATTGGACTACCTTCGGCACCTTGGGTAATCTTGGCACGTTTTACATGTAGGGGATCTAATGATCCAATTGATTTAAGACCAGGGACACCTTTAAATAAAAAATAGTAGAACAGTGTTGGAATGTTTGTTCGGGATACCGTAGAATTTTATTGTTTGCAAAATAGTTAGGCTCAATTCCATTATTGTTGTTTTTATAAAAACAAGGTTTGTCTATTAGTGGAGAAAAATTGTAACGTTTATCAAGGGGCAAGGTATGGAATACCTAATGGGGAGAATATCCAAGACAAAAAAAAAAAAAAACAAGGGAACTGATAAAAATAATAAATACAGGGTAAGATTAAAAAAACTGCAACCAACTTCAGACTGCCATCATTTCTAAGCCACTCGTCCCACAGCTGTTAAAATTATTTCAGTGACAGCTCATTATATTGTTTACAAGCGTACAAAAGCATTTTTGTGAGTATTGTCCAGAAAAAAGTTATTCGTGATGTAATTCAAGCGTGATAGTGTGATTTCTTTATATTTGGCTGGAAAACCACAAGTGGCTAACGTTAGAGCACTCCAGCATTTAAATGTGAATAAACCTTTTGTGTCTCGTACAGTCGCTCGTTACCGTGATACTGGTAGCGTAGCCCGACGTCAAGGAAGTGGAGGGAAGAAAACAGCAACTTGAGCAGAAATGGTTCGAAAAGTAAAGAAGCGACTTGATCGAAACTCGCGTCGCAGTGGCCGAAAAATGGCTCGTGAGCTGAACATATCGTAATATGCCATTCGGCAAATATTGAAAAATGAGCTCGGGATGAAGTCATTGAAATTCCAGAAAGTGCAAGAACTTACAACGCAAAAGAAAGAAAATAGACTCAAAAGAGCTAAAGACTTGCTTCGCTTGATCGAAAGTGGTGAAATGCCGAATTTGGTTTTCTCCGATGAGAAAACATTCGTTGTCCAGTAGTTTGTAAACAAACAAAATGATCGTTTTTACTTGCCAAAGAGGTCACCTGAAAATGTGCACCTTTGGTTGGCTACCAGAACTCAAGCGCCGGCCATGGTGATGGTGTGGGTCGCCATAACAGCCGGTGGTCGTTCTCCGCTCATATTAATTGACCGTGGCATCAGAATAAATGTCGAATATTATCGCGAAAATATTTTGGGGGATGTATTAAAGCCTTGGGCACGTAAACATTTTGGCCAACAGCACTCAATCCATTGGACTATTGTGTCTGGAGTATTTTGGAAAGCAAGGTTGGCACTAAAAAATACCAAAGTGCCGATCACTTCAAGCAAGCGCTTCGCCGGGAATGAGCTAAAATACCGCAGAGCAACATTCGGGCAGCGTGTGACGGTTTCATTGGCCGTTTGAAGGCCATAATTCGTATCAAAAGTGACTAATTCGAACAAATCTAAACTTATTCTAAAATTCGATGATATTTCCGACATTCAATAAAATTTAAAAAAAAAAAATGTAAAAATTATGGCATTTGACTTTGTTGAAGTTTTTTTAACTCACCCTGCATAATCATGCAAATGTCGATCAACAACTAAAAAATGAGACTCCCTTGAAAAACGGTTTTAGATTCCATGTCCTTTGACTCCCAATTTTGGTTCAAATTTTAATTGTTTTAGTACGCAAATACATGTTTTGGAAAACTTACCAGATTTCCATCCATTAAACATCTTTTCTAGATTTTTGGCCCAACATTTGCCAAATTCACTATCCGATCGCTTGCAAATATCCAAAAATGCCGCTGCAACATAAAATATAAAAATGTATTTATTTATTAGAGTAGAAAAATTAGTACTTCACACTTACGTTTTTCGACGAGGAATTTTGCCCCATTGACCTCCAAAGATCCGAGCCATATAAGGGCCACAAGAATACTACACAATTGCATTGAAATTTCCATATTATCAATATATTAAAACGATTTTATTAATTCTTCAGACTTGGAAAATTAAAAAAAATATTGATTAGAAAGTATTAATCCGTTGTGCTGTTGAAATCTTGTTAGACTGTTGGGAATTCGGGCTTAGATGTTTGTTTATAAATGAGTACATATTTTTTTTAAACAATATAAAATAACAAAATTGCAAATAATTTTTAATTATTTTTTCCTTTATTGTTATACAAATTGAAAACTGGTTTCGTACCCTCATTAATCCATTGGAATGTAAGTGCATTGTTTTTAGAGCGATACCTTAGGGGAAGCACGTGTAAGCGCTAGAGTCATTGGCCTAATAATTTGCAAGGATGACAGGGAACAACACACAAGGGTACGATAAGATAGACATGTATTTAGGTGGCCTACCTTGTAAATTACAGTGGGCGACATTAAAAATAATAATAGTTGAACGCTTAGAATCCGAACCAAAGAAATATTGTTGAAAACTAAAATAAAAAAACTGTAACAAATTGAAATGCCATCATTTTTATTTTTTTTAATTTAATTTAATGAAACAAAAAATGTCGGAAATAGCATCAAATTTTAGAATAAGTTTAGATTTGTTCAAATTGGTCACCTTTGGCACGAATTATGGCCTTCAAACGGCCAATGAAACCCTAACACGCTACCCGAATGTTGCTCTGCGGTATTTTGGCTCATTCTTCTCATTCTGCTTGAGGTTATCGACACTTGGATATTTTTTATTTTGCCAACCTTGCTTTCCAAAATACTCCAGACGCAATAGTCCGACGGCCATTTTGCGCTGGAAATGAAGCGAGGAATCTCATTTTGTAACCATCGCGTGCTGAGTGCTGTTGGAATGTCCAAGGTCTTCGGCCAAAATGTTTGCATGTCCAAGGCTTTAATACACTCTCCAGAATATTTTCGCGATAATATTTGGCATTTATTCTGATGCCACGGTCGATTAATACAAGCGGAGAGCGACCAACGGCTGTTATGGCGACCCACACCATCATCATGGCCGGCGCCTGAGTTCTGGTGGCCAACCGAACACATTTTCAGTTCACCTCTTTGGCAAGTGAACACGATCATTTTGTTTGTTTACAAACTGCTGGACATCTAATGTTTTCTCATCGGAGCGGAGAACCCAAATTCGGCAGTTCACCACTTTCGGTCAAGCGAAGCAACTCTTTAGCTCTTTTGAGTCTATTTTTTTCTGTTGCAGTGTAAGTTCTTGCACTTTTGGGAATTTCAATGGCTTTACCCTGAGCTCATTTTTCAATATTTGCCGAATGGAATATTGCGATATGTTCAGCTCACCAGTAATTTACGGGGCACAAAAGATTTATTCACATTAAAATGAAATCACACTATCACGCTTGAATTCCATCACGAATAACTTTTTTTCTGGAAAATTCTCACCAAAATGCTTTTATACGCTTGTAAACAATATAATACGGTGTCACTGGAATAATTTTAACAGCTGTCGGACGAGTGGCTTAGAAATGACAGCAGTCTGAAGTTGGTTGCAGTTTTTTCATCTCACCCTGAATACCCACTCTAGCCATATGGCTGAGGGTATAAAAATTATTATTATAATTACATAAAAATATTTATTAATTTTTTTTTTAACATTTTATTCCTCCATCAAATATTTCGCCGGTACATATGCAAATAGTTTAGTTATAATATCTTTAACAACAACTTGATTCGTTTGACTCAACGAAGGTCGCAGAACATCGAACAGGGTACTCCAATTTGCATTCAACAAAGCCAGTGCTCCATCTTCCAAAGCTTTATCGCCATTGAATAGATTATCGAAATGGAATTGAATACCACCATTTTCGATCCAATCCAAGTGGAATTTGTCCACATCGGCAAATTCATAACCGTTGCGTTCGTTCAATTTAAATTGAACATTTAGTATTAGAACAGCATTATCTAGACAAGAAAATGACAAAAGAAATAAGGAACACAAATTAAAAAGATAAATTATGGGGTTTCAATATCATAAATATCGATATATATCTATATACATATATAATTATACCTTGATGTGAACAAATAATATTAGTCTAAACAAGTTTTTTTTTTTTTTTCCTACACAGAATTCGAAACGTAATTTCTAGCAACATATTTTACAGAGATGCTAAATCAAATACGGAATTGATGTATATATATGAATATTTCCTACATTTAAATATGAATTTTCAAAAGTTCTACATTTGAATATAGGAAATCTTCATATGTAAACATCATATTTTACATCAAATTTTCAGACTGATATGAGATGAAAAAAACTGCATCCAATTTCAGACTGTTGCCATTTCTAAGCCACTCGTCCAACCGCTTTTAAATTTATTCCAGTGACAGCTCATTATATTGTTTACAGGCGTACAAAAGCATTTTGGTGAGAATTTTCCGGAAAAAAAGTTATTCGTGATGGAATTCAAGCGTGATAATGCGATTTCTTTATATTGGCTGGAAAACCACAAGTGGCTATCGTTAGAGCACTCCAGGTTTAAATGTGAATAAATCTTTCGTGTCTCGTACCATCGCTCGTTACCGATTACGTGATACTGGTAGCGTAGCCCGACGTCAAGGAAGTGGACAGTGGAAGAAAACAGCAACATCAGCAGAAATGGTTCGAAAAGTAAAGAAGCCACTTGATCGAAACACGCGCCGCAGTGGCCAACAAAATGGCTCGTGAGCTGAACATATCGCAATATTCCATTCGGCAAATATTGAAAATAAGCTGGAGGTAAAGCCATTGAAATTCCAAAAAGTGCAAGAACTTACACCGCAAGAGAACGAAAATAGACTCAAAAGATCTAAAGAGTTGTTTAACTTGGCCGAAAGTGGTGAACTGCCAAATTTGGTTTTCTCCGGTCCGATGAGAAAACATTAGTTGTCCAGCAGTTTGTAAACAAACAAAATGATCGTGTTTTTTGCCGAAAAGGTCAGCTAAAAATGTGCACCCTCGGTTGGCCACCAGAACTCAAGCGCAGGCCATGGTGATGGTGTGGGCCGCCATAACAGCTGGTGGTCGCTCTCCGTTCATATTAATCGACCGTGGCATCAGAATAAATGCAGAATTTTATCCCGAAAAAGGGCACGCAAAAATTTTGGCCGCAGACCTTGGGCATTCCAACAGGACTCAGCACGCACCACCCAAGAATGGTTACAAAATGAGGTTCCTCGCTTCATTTCCAGCGCA